TTTCTAATAATGGTGAATAAATATTACCACAATTATTTATCATACGGTGAAACAATCTTTTGGGAAAATTCCAATCAATCTGAAAGAAACTATAGTACAAAAACGTAACAAAAGACAAACAATAAATTAGAATACCTCAGGTTGTGGCACACAAGGAATACGGTATATACAAACATAAAGCACTTGAGGGAAGGACTAGGACCAACAACAATCAGTGTGATACTTTAACCAGATAGGTTCGAGGCCAGTGACTCTTCTTACTCATCAATACTGGTAATGGTTTTAGTCCCAATAAGTGAACCAAACCCCTATTTCATTATTCAACCATGACAGAGGCATCAAGATGTATCAATTGAAAACAAATTATTAATTTGATATAAATTAAGGGACATTTTGAAGACTAGATATTATTTTCAACTGATACCAAGGACAGGAAAGAAAACAATAGTTTCTACAGCTTGTTAAAATTCTTAAAATATCCTACCCTAACCCATAAACTACACCCTATCCTACCCTAACCCATACCTAATCCATAAACTACACCCTATCCTACCCTAACCCATAAACTACACCCTATCCTACCCTAACCCATAAACTACACCCTATCCTACCCTAACCTATGCCTAATCCATAAACTACACCCTATCCTACCCTAATCCATAAACTACACCCTATCCTACCCTAACCCATACCTAATCCATAAACTACACCCTATCCTACCCTAACCCATACCTAATCCATAAACTACAGCCTATCCTACCCTAACCCATACCTAATCCATAAACTACACCCTATCCTACCCTAACCCATACCTAATCCATAGAGACTACATCCTATCCTACCCATAGAGACTACCCCCTATCCTACCCTAACCAATAGAGACTACCCCTATCCTACGCTAACCCATAGAGACTACCCCTATCCTACGCTAACCCATAGAGACTACATCCTATCCTACCCATAGAGACTACCCCCTATCCTACCCTAACCAATAGACCACCCCCTATCCTACCCTAACCCATAGAGACTACCCCTATCCTACGCTAACCCATAGAGACTACATCCTATCCTACCCATAGAGACTACCCGCTATCCTACCCTAACCCATAGACTACACCCTATCCTACCCGAAACCATACAGACTACACCCTATCCTACCCTAAACCCATAGACTACACCCTATCCTACCTACCCTAACCCATAGACTAAATATCCTACCCTAACCAATATAGACTACACCAGTGCAATATCATACACACACGTTACGTTTAAAGTAATGGAAAATATGCCTTTGAACCTGAGAAAAATGTCTTGGAGCTAAACAGTAGGATGTCACCCTGTGTGTCCATGGTAATCATACTGCAGTTTGTTTTGGAGTTGTCCAGGCATCTTCAATGACCAAGTTATTTCATAGACAAAAGATAACATTTACTTTGTTAAGTTATTCTTTACTCTTAGAATGTGCATGAGTTCATGAACTCGGCCACATGGTCAAGCTTTTACAGACAACTTCGAGTTTGGGTTCGCCTCGCTGCCAAATCGCAACATTGAATGCTTTATAGATTGTGTTACCCACACCAGTCCCCAGTCCTTAACCACCAGTAGCTAGTCCTTAACCACCAGTACCCAGTCCTTAACCACCAGTACCTAGTCCTTAACCACCAGTACCTAGTCCTTAACCACCAGTACCTAGTCCTTAACCACCAGTACCTAGTCCTTAACCACCAGTAGCTAGTCCTTAACCACCAGTAGCTAGTCCTTAACCACCAGTACCTAGTCCTTAACCACCAGTACCCAGTCCTTAACCACCAGTACCTAGTCCTTAACCACCAGTACCTAGTCCTTAACCACCAGTACCTAGTCCTTAACCACCAGTAGCTAGTCCTTAACCACCAGTAGCTAGTCCTTAACCACCAGTAGCTAGTCCTTAACCACCAGTACCCAGTCCTTAACCACCAGTACCTAGTCCTTAACCACCAGTACCTAGTCCTTAACCACCAGTACCTAGTCCTTAACCACCAGTACTTAGTCCTTAACCACCAGTACCTAGTCATTAACCACCAGTAGCTAGTCCTTAACCACCAGTACCTAGTCCTTAACCACCAGTAGCTAGTCCTTAACCACCAGTAGCTAGTCCTTAACCACCAGTAGCTAGTCCTTAACCACCAGTACCTAGTCCTTAACCACCAGTAGCTAGTCCTTAACCACCAGTAGCTAGTCCTTAACCACCAGTACCCAGTCCTTAACCACCAGTACCTAGTCCTTAACCACCAGTACCTAGTCCTTAACCACCAGTACCTAGTCCTTAACCACCAGTACTTAGTCCTTAACCACCAGTACCTAGTCATTAACCACCAGTAGCTAGTCCTTAACCACCAGTACCTAGTCCTTAACCACCAGTAGCTAGTCCTTAACCACCAGTAGCTAGTCCTTAACCACCAGTAGCTAGTCCTTAACCACCAGTACCTAGTCCTTAACCACCAGTAGCTAGTCCTTAACCACCAGTACCTAGTCCTTAACCACCAGTACCTAGTCCTTAACCACCAGTACCTAGTCCTTAACCACCAGTACCTAGTCCTTAACCACCAGTAGCTAGTCCTTAACCACCAGTACCTAGTCCTTAACCACCAGTAGCTAGTCCTTAACCACCAGTACCCAGTCCTTAACCACCAGTAGCCAGTCCTTAACCACCAGTAGCTAGTCCTTAACCACCAGTAGCTAGTCCTTAACCACCAGTAGCTAGTCCTTAACCACCAGTAGCCAGTCCTTAACCACCAGTACCTAGTCCTTAACCACCAGTAGCCAGTCCTTAACCACCAGTACCTAGTCCTTAACCACCAGTAGCTAGTCCTTAAACACCAGTACCCAGTCCTTAACCACCAGTAGCTAGTCCTTAACCACCAGTAGCTAGTCCTTAACCACCAGTAGCCAGTCCTTAACCACCAGTACCTAGTCCTTAACCACCAGTACCTAGTCCTTAACCACCAGTACCTAGTCCTTAACCACCAGTAGCCAGTCCTTAACCACCAGTAGCTAGTCCTTAACCACCAGTACCCAGTCCTTAACCACCAGTACCTAGTCCTTAACCACCAGTACCCAGTCCTTAACCACCAGTACCTAGTCCTTAACCACCAGTAGCTAGTCCTTAACCACCAGTACCTAGTCCTTAACCACCAGTACCTAGTCCTTAACCACCAGTACCTAGTCCTTAACCACCAGTAGCTAGTCCTTAACCACCAGTAGCTAGTCCTTAACCACCAGTACCTAGTCCTTAACCACCAGTACCTAGTCCTTAACCACCAGTACCTAGTCCTTAACCACCAGTACCTAGTCCTTAACCACCAGTAGCTAGTCCTTAACCCCAAGTACCTAGTCCTTAACCACCAGTAGCTAGTCCTTAACCCCAAGTAGCTAGTCCTTAACCACCAGTAGCTAGTCCTTAACCACCAGTACCTAGTCCTTAACCACCAGTACCTAGTCCTTAACCACCAGTACCTAGTCCTTAACCACCAGTACCTAGTCCTTAACCACCAGTAGCTAGTCCTTAACCACCAGTAGCTAGTCCTTAACCACCAGTAGCTAGTCCTTAACCACCAGTAGCTAGTCCTTAACCACCAGTACCTAGTCCTTAACCACCAGTACCTAGTCCTTAACCACCAGTAGCTAGTCCTTAACCACCAGTAGCTAGTCCTTAACCACCAGTAGCTAGTCCTTAACCACCAGTAGCTAGCGCTGTACCACCAGTAGCTAGTCCTTAACCACCAGTAGCTAGTCCTTAACCACCAGTAGCTAGCGCTGTACCACCAGTAACTAGTCTTTTACCACCAGTAGCTAGTCCTTAACCACCAGTAGCTAGTCCTTAACCACCAGTAGCTAGCGCTGTACCACCAGTAGCTAGTCCTTAACCACCAGTAGCTAGTCCTTAACCACCAGTAGCTAGCGCTGTACCACCAGTAGCTAGTCCTTAACCACCAGTAGCTAGTCCTTAACCACCAGTACCTAGTCCTTAACCACCAGTAGCTAGCGCTGTACCACCAGTAGCTAGCGCTGTACCACCAGTAGCTAGCGCTGTACCACCAGTAGCTAGCGCTGTACCACCAGTAGCTAGCGCTGTACCACATAGCTAAAGGTCTTTACATTTTACTGCACAGCATATACTCATATAGCATATACTCAGACTTATTCAAATCAAGTTTACCAAAACACTTACAGCAGAATGTCGAGTGAAATGCCAGTTCATGCCATTTCAACATCAGTTACTGTTCTATTGAACAAGTATCAACCAAATAAAGACAAGGAATGAGAACTGGAACGATGTAAACAACAGCGAAGTAACAATCACATTTCCTATTGGAGTGGAATTCACTTGAGCCAGTCCAAAGAAATAAACGTTACTTCTTGTCAGCAGAAAAAGTATCATCATTCCATACACGCTACAGACATTTTGGCACCAAAGGGCCGTAGCAAGCCACTTTTCACAAACGTGGTCAGCCACCATTCTGACCGCCAAATCAGACAAGTATATATATATCTAAAAAAAAATATGTTAATAATAAAAAATAAAAAAAATAATACATTTTGTACTTGTAGGTTCCAGACCTTTAAACACTGAATTGACAACCCCCACCGCACCCCAAAAAAATGCTCACAGCAACAAATAATCACGGAAGAGAAGAAGCGTTTTACACTTTGACCTTGCAGAGATGAGGAGCATGCTTTTTTTGCGTCCGGCTTAAGTTGGGAGGGTGAGGTACACTAAAACTGAAGCGCTGCTGTCCTTTGACTGTCGTCCTTTGACTGTCGTCCTCCGTGGGAGACGGGCGGATGGACAGACGGACAGGCAGAGGCGGAGCAGCCTCATTCCAATGGAGTGACAAAAAGTGTCCATGTGTTTGTGGCGCGAGGAGAGTTGAGGGGTGGGGCGGAGAAGAGGGGGTTGATAGAGGGCTCAGTGGGAGCAGGGGAGGACAGACTGAGCGGAAGGAGGCAAACATTATCCCCTAGTCCAATATGGGGGAGGGAGGATGAGGGAAGCGTTCACTGAAAAACATCCACATGAAGGAACCTAGAGGAAAGACAAAACAGGCAAGGTTAAACAACTGTCTGAAACCAAACAGTCTTCAGATAAGTTAAATGACTGTCTTTCGAGACATATTCCTAAAAATACAACACATCTCTCATACATGGCATATTACCAGAGTACACTACAAACATCTACGTTCATTTAGGCCAAATATTACAATTTTCTTCTAAATAAGACATGTTATTCATTGATCCCCTTCAGGTATTCAAAGCAGAGCCAATGTTCCATGTTAAGCTCCTTACCGTGAAGCAGCCCCTCCATGTTAAGCTCCTTACCGTGAAGCAGCCCCTCCATGTTAAGCTCCTTACCGTGAAGCAGCCCCTCCATGTTAAGCTCCTTACCGTGAAGCAGCCCTCCAGTAAGCTCCTTACGTGAAGCAGACCCTCCCTCCAGTATCATGGCTTTTGTGTCCACCAGTTGCAGCTGCACATTCAAAGGCATGTCCTCTCCACCGTATCCACCCTTTGACTGCATTTGGTTCTGAATGGAGTTCACCTGTGGAGGAAATAAACAGTATATGTTAAAGACCAGATGATGGACAACTGCTAACCATATTGAAGCAATACCCACATTCACCTATTAACCTGCTAACCCTATGGAAGCAATACCCACATTCACCTATTAACCTGCTAACCCTATGGAAGCAATACCCACATTAATCTATTAACCCTAACATTTACATTACATTCAGTCATTACATTTTACATTTTAGTCATTTAGCAGACGCTCTTATCCAGAGCGACTTACAGTTAGTGAGTGCAGATTATTATTTATTTTTTCTTTCTGGCCCCCTGTGGGAATCGAACCCACAACCCTGCCGTTGCAAGCGCCATGCTCTACCAACTGTGCGACCCACAGGAGCAAACAGGGTCAAGCGCCACGTCAAAGGGCACAAGAACAGATCCCCCACCCAGTCGAATCGGGGACCCCAACCAGCGACCTCTCAGCCACCGGCCCAAGCTCCCAATCGGCAGTTTGTGTGTATGTGTGGCACTATTTACATGTGTGTATGTGTCCGTGTGCGTACAAGCGCTTGTGTGGCATCAGCCTCAGGCAAAAAAGGCATTGGATGTAACAACGTTCCTTTTTAGTGTCAGTTAAATGTATTTTTTGTTTTGTTTTGTTTATTTTTACTTTATTTTTTGACTTTTATCTTTGACCATCATTCTACCCCCCGCCCAGCAACTCCACTCCCACATCCCAACCCTCAGTTTCCCTCAGCCCATCCCACCTATCTCTCCATCCCAACCCTCAGCCCATCCCACCTATCTCTCCATCCCAACCCTCAGCCCATCCCACCTATCTCTCCATCCCAACCCTCAGCCCATCCCACCTATCTCTCCATCCCAACCCTCAGCCCATCCCACCTATCTCTCCATCCCAACCCTCAGCCCATCCCACCTATCCTCCATCCCAACCCTCAGCCCATCCCACCTATCTCTCCATCCCAACCCTCAGCCCATCCCACCTATCTCTCCATCCCAACCCTCAGCCCATCCCACCTATCTCTCCATCCCAACCCTCAGCCCATCCCACCTATCTCTCCATCCCAACCCTCAGCCCATCCCACCTATCTCTCCATCCCAACCCTCAGCCCATCCCACCTATCTCTCCATCCCAACCCTCAGCCCATCCCACCTATCTCTGCTGGCAACCCTCTTCGGATTTCTACGTGCATTATACACTATATATACACAAAAGGTATGTGGACACCCCTTCAAATTAGAGGATTCGGCTATTTCAGCCACACCTGTTGCTGACAGGTGTAAAATATTGAGCACACAGCCATGTAATCTCCATAGACAAACATTGGCAGTAGAACGGCCTTACTGAAGAGCTCCATGACTTTCAATGTCACGCCGTCATAGGAAGCCACCTTTCCAACAAGTCAGTTCGTCAAATGTATGCTCTGCTAGAGCTGCCCCGGTAAACTGTAAGTGCTGTTATTGTGAAGTGGAAACGTCTAGGAGCAACAACGGCTCAGCCGCGAAGTGGTAGGCCACACAAGCTCACAGAAGAGAACGGGACCGCCGAGCGCCGAAGTGCGTAGCGCGTAAAAATCGTCTGTCCACGGTTGCAACACTCACTACAGAGTATCAAACTGACTCCGGAAGCAACGTCAGCACAATAACTGTTCGTCGAGAGCCTCATGAGATTTGATGGCCGAGCAGCTGCACACAAGCCTAAGATCACCATGCGCAATGCCAAGTGTCTGGACTGGTGTAAAGCTCGCCGCCATTGGACTCTGGAGCAGTGGAAACACGTTCTCGGGAGTGATGAATGACGCTTCACCATCTGGTAGTCTGACGGACAAATCTGGGTTTGCTATTTTTAGGGTCAATTTTAGATGAATGTTATGCTTTTTCAGCCATTCCTGAACCTGAGACCAGAAACAGGCTACCAGAACAAATGGCCTATTGATTCTGTATCCTCGCAAAAAAATCTGCAGAGGTGCGATGGTTGTATGCCCCAAATATTGTTGGTGGCAAGAATTCTGTACAATAATGTTAGCTGAAAAGCACAAAGTCATGAATATTGCGTTGTTTTATATATCAACTCATACACCCTGTGTCATGGAATCGGTACATCAAAAAATCTCTTCCCAGCTATTTTGCAATCTGTATGGCACAGCTGTCAACATCCTGGTCCTCAAATGAAACTGGTATACTTTCCTATTTATGCTATGTTTATTCCTCCGCCAGTTTTGATCCTTTATATTGGGCAGACAGACCAGTTCCCTACCTCCTCCCTTGATCCTTTATATTGGGACAGACAGACCAGTTCCCTACCTCCTCCCGCTGCCACCAGCCTCCTCCATTTTTGCGGTAATGCTGTAATCAATTGGTTGTCATCTTGGAATGAGAAGACCTTCCCATACAATTCTGATAGCTCCATGAAAGACATAACTACCATTCCAATGTACAATATAATATAAAAACAGAATACACTTCTCAAACATATTTTCCATAAATACAGGTCTTTTATCAACCAGCACATTTGAGTTCAATAATAATTGTTTGATCTTTTCTGGGGGATGAAATTGAAATTGTAACCTGCTCTGCGATGCTTGTTTGAAAAAGAGAGCTACTTTGAACAAGGTTTAATTTTCAATTAATCGAAAATGAGAAACGGCAACGTGCACAAAGGCAAAAAAAATCCATTATTAAACAAGGGATGAGCTTTTCTTAGTAATCTACTTGAGAACCATTTTGGTTTCGAGTAAAACTTTTGTATAAGTGAAGCTTTTAGAGACAGGTTTAAGTGCTTTCATATTTAATCATCTCAGCCCACCCAGTTGATATTCATTATATAGATCGTCTGGTTTAGCATCCCAGATAAAGGCACATATTTTTTGCTCATATGATTTGAAAAACGAATCATCAGGAGTGAAAGTGCCATAAGTAAGTGAGTAAACAGATATGACTAAGGAGTTGTAATATTTCCATAAATAGACAGGTATTTACCTCTCCATGGTTGCAGGATCTTGTCTATTTATTACTAGTTTTCTATTGAAATTCATTGTGGCCAGCTCATTTATATATTTTGTGATATGAATACCAAGGATATCTACTTCACAGTCAGACCGTTTTATAGCTAAACTGCAGGGTAATGTAAAAGTTGTCTTTTAAAAAAGATCCAATACGTAACATGGTACACTTATCATAATTAGGTTTTAGTCCAGGGAGGCCAAAGAACGTAACTAGATCTTCAAATGAGACATTGCAGGGATTTAGCTTGTGGACTTAATATAAAACTTGAGTCATGGATACCTTTGGTTTTAAGCCTTGGATATGTAATCTTCTAAATGTTGTCATTTGACCCGAATTGAATAGCTAGCATTTCGATGGCCATAAATATGGTGACAGCGGACACACTTGTTTAACTCCTCTTGAGAGTTCAAAACTCTGAGAAGTAGCCACTATTTACTATTTTACACCTGGGGTTGCTATACATTTATTTTACCCATTGATTAAGAGACTCACCGAAATGGAAGAAATACAGGTATTTATACAGTTGAAGTCGGAAGTTTACATACACCTTAGCCAAATACATTTAAACTCAGTTTTTCACAATTCCTGACATTTAATCCTAGTAAAAATTCCCTGTCTTAGGTCAGTTATAATAGTAGAGAGAATGATTTATTTCAGTTTTAATTTCTTTCATCACATTCCCAGTGGGTCAGAAGTTTACCTACACTCAATTAGTATTTGGTAGCATTGTCTTTAAATTGTTTAACTTGGGTCAATCGTTTTGGGTATCCTTCCACAAGCTTCCCACAATAAGTTGGGTGAATTTTGGCCCATTCCTCCTGACAGAGCTGGTGTAACGGAGTCAGGTTTGTTTATTTTCTATAGGATTGAGGTCAGGGCTTTTGTGCTACTCCAATACCTTGACTTTGTTGTCCTTAAGCCATTTTGCAACAACTTTGGAAGTATGCTTGGGGTCATTGTCCATTTGCGACCAAGCTTTAACTTCCTGACTGATGTCTTGAGATGTTGCTTCAATATATCCACATAATTTTCCTTCCTCATGATGCCATCTATTTTGTGAAGTGCACCAGTCCCTCCTGCAGCAAAGCACCCCCACAGCATGATGCTGCCACCCCCGTGCTTAACAGTTGGGATGGTGTTCTTCGGCTTGCAAGCAAACCCATTTTTCCTCCAAACATAACGATGGTCATTATGGCCAAACAGTTCTATTTTTGTTTCATCAGACCAGAGTACATTTCTCCAAAAAGTACGATCTTTGTCCTCATGTGCAGTTGCAAACCGTAGTCTGGCTTTTTTATGGCGGTTTTGGAGCAGTGGCTTCTTCCTTGCTGAGCGGCCTTTCAGGTTATGTCGATATAGGACTCGTTTTACTGTGGATATAGATACATTATTTACCTGTTTCCTCCAGCATCTTCACAAGGTCCTTTGCTGTTGTTCTGGGATTGATTTGCACTTTTCGCACCAAAGTACGTTCATCTCTAGGAGACAGAACGCGTCTCCTTCCTAAGCAGTGTGACGGCTGCGTGGTCCCATGGTGTTTATACTTGCGTACTATTGTTTGTACAGATGAACGTGGTACCTTCAGGCATTTGGAAATTGCTCCAAAGGATGAACCAGACTTGTGGAGGTCTACAATTTTTTTTGAGGTCTTGGCTGATTTCTTTTGATGTTCCCATGATGTCAAGCAAAGAGACACTGAGTTTGAAAGTAGTCCTTGAAATACATCCACAGGTCCCCCTCCAATTGACTCAAATGATGTCAATTAGCCTATCAGACGCTTCTAAAGCCATGACGTCATTTTCTGGAATTTTCCAAGCTGTTTAAAGGCACTGTAAACTTCTGACCCCACTGGAATCGTGATACAATGAATTATAAGTGAAATAATCTATAAACAATGATGACTCCAACCTAAATGTATGTAAACTTCCGACTTCAACTGTATTTAAATCCTGTCTTACTTTATCAAAGGCCTTTTCAAAATCCGCTATGAATACCAGGCCTGGCTTCAAAGACGTTTCATTTTGTTCTATTATTTCTAGTAGTTGTCATATATTATCTCCAATGTATCGTCCACGTAAAAAACCTGTCTGATTAGGATGAACAATACCTTGTAAAACCTTTTTAATTCTGAGTGCTATGCATTTTGCTATAATTTTTGCATCACAACATTGAAGTGTAAGAGGCCTCCAGTATTTTTAGATGGACTGGGTCTATATATTTGCCATCTGGGTCTTGTTTAAATAATAGTGAAATCAGACCTTCCTGCTGAGTACCTGACAGACTACCATTTCTATAGGAGTAGTTAAAACAAGCTAATAATGGAGCTTTGAGTAAATAAAAAAAGGCTTGATATCCCTCTACCGGTATGCCATCCAGCCCTGGGGTTTTTCCAGACTGTAAAGATTTAAGAGCCTCAAAAAGTTATTCCTCTGTAATTTGGCCTTCGTATTGATCTTTTTGTGCATTTGTTGGAGGCGTGCGTGGCCACGCAGTCATGGGTGAACAGGGAGTACAGGAGGGGGCTGAGCACGCACCCTTGTGGGGCCCCCGTGTTGAGGATCAGCGAAGTGGAGGTGTTGTTTCCTACCTTCACCACCTGGGGGCGGCCCGTCAGGAAGTCCAGGACCCAGTTGCACAGGGCGGGGTTCAGACGCAGGGCCCCGAGCTTAATGATGAGCTTGGAGGGTACTATGGTGTTGAAGGCTGAGCTATAGTCAATGAACAGCATTCTTACATAGGTATTCCTTATCCAGATGGGATAGAGCAGTGTGCAGTTCAATGGCAATAGCATCGTCTGTGGATCTATTGGGGCGGTATGCAAATTAAAGTGGGTCTAGGGTGTCAGGTAAGGTAGAGGTGATATGATTCTTAACTAGCCTCTCAAAGCACTTCATGATGACAGAAGTGAGTGATACAGGGCGATAGTCATTTAGTTCAGTCACCTTTGCTTTCTTGGGTACAGGAACAATGGTGGACATCTTGAAGCAAGTGGGGACAGCAGACTGGGATAGGGAGAGATTGAATGTCCATAAACACTCCAGCCAGCTGGTCTGCGCCTGCTCTGAGGACGCGGCTAGGGATGCCGTCTGGGCCAGCAGCCTTGCGAGGGTTAACATGCTTAAATGTCTTACTCACGTCGGCCACGGAGAACGAGAGCCACAGTCCTTGGGAGCTGCCCGCGTCGGTGGCACTGTGTTATACTCAAAGCGGGCGAAGAAGGTGTTTAGGGTGTCCGGGAGCAAGACGTCGGTGTCCGCAACGTGGCTGGTTTTCCCTTTGTAATCCGTGATTGTCTGTAGACCCTGCCACATACGTTTTGTGTGTGAGCCGTTGAATTGCGACTCCACTTTGTCTCTGTTTGATTGCCGTACGGAGGGAATAACTACACTGTTAGTTTTCAACCATATTCCCAGTCACCTTGCCATGGTTAAAAGCGGTGGTTTGCACTTTCAGTTTTGCGCGAATGCTGCCATCTATCCACGGTTTCTGGTTAGGGTAGGTTTTTAATAGTCACAGTGGGAACAACATCCCCTATACACTTCCTGATAAACTCAGTCACCGTGTCCATGTATACGTCAATGTTATTCTCAGAGGCTACCCGGAACATATCCCAGTCCGCGTGATCACAACAATCTTGAAGCATGGATTCCGATTGGTCAGACCAGCGGGGGAGGGCCTTGTAGGCATCCTGGAAGGGGGAGTAACAGCGGTCAAGCGTTTTGGCAGCGCGAGTACTACAGTCAATGTGTTGATAGAACTTCGGTAGCGTTTTCCTCAAATTTGCTAAAATTTGTTAAAATCCCCAGCTACAATAAACAGGATATGTGGTTTCCAGTTTGCACAAAGCTCAGTGTAGTTCCTTGAGGGATGTCGTGGTATTGGCTTGAGGGGGAATATACACGGCTGTGACTATAACCGAAGAGAATTCTCTTGGGCGGTAATACGGTCGGCATTTGATTGTAAGGTATTCTAGGGCGGGTGAACAAAAGGACTCGAGTTTCTGTACGTTACCACAATCACACCATGAGTAGTTAATCATGAAATATACACCACCGCCTTTCTTCTTCCCGGATAGTTCTTTATTCCTGTCTGCGCGATGTACGGAGAGAGCCATGATTCCGTGAAACAGAGTATGTTACAGTCCCTGATGTCTCTCTGGAAGGAGATCCTCGCCCTGAGCTCGTCTACTTTATTGTCCAGAGACTGAACATTAGCGAGTAATATACTCGCAAGCGGTGGATGGTGTGCATGGCTCCTGAGTCAGACTAGAAGTCCATGCCGAATACCTCTTCTCCGCTGGCGGTGTCTTGAAGCAGCCTCTGGGATAAGTTAAATTGCCCTGTGGGGTACGAACAAAGGATCCAATTCAGGAAAGTCGTATTCCTGGTCGTGATGCTTGTGAGTTACCGCCGCGATGATATCCAAAAGTCTTTTCCGGCAGTATGTAATAACACAAAAAACGTTCTGGGCTAATAATGTAAGAAATAACACACAAAAAACATAATACTGCAAAGTTGCTTAGGAGCTAGAAGCAGAGCTGCCATGTTTGTCGGCGCCATCGTGAATATCTAAAATATCATTCGGAGAATCATGGATGACTCCGCCTTTAGTAACACGTTTTTTCTAATTATTTTTGGTAGCTTTCCTGTGTTGAAGATTCAGGAAGAATTTGGTGTATTTTTTTACCCAGGGTATGAAGCCATGTCATCTTGTAACTGTACATTAAACATAGTGATCATAAACGCTGACACTGAATATGACATGAGTTTTATGATATGGAAATGTGAAGTGCACATTTGGACTCACGGGTGTTTGGCTTGCTTGTATGACATCAAAGCGGTATTTATTATAATCCTCAACGTCTAATTTTTCTAAATGCATAGTCATTTTAATTTAAAGCCTCACTAAGACAACAAAACATTTGCTGAAGTCGCCCAATTAGCGGGAGGGATTGGGGCAACTTCTTGTCGCCATGCAAGGCTCAGGTTCAGACCTGCTGTCAGTCAAAACCCATCCAGCGCTGTGAAGTGCAACGCCTGAGCTCTGACGTCATTTATAGCATGTTAATGTACAGCCGCTGCGTTCCAACTTAGGCACCTATCAGTGCCCAAATCTGCCATTTTCAACCCATATAAGGTTACGAATGTAAAGGGCTAAACAAAATTGCTTTCTCTGAGCAATTGTATTCGTATAAAACAATATAAATTTACCCATTTGTTTTAGCATAGCTCAGTTTTTGAATTATTTATTTTATATAGTCATTATTGCTCATCATTATCAATGGTGTCAATCATTTTGGACCCCACTGTATTTTTAAAGCTGTTTTCAGTCAAATCAGAACTACTTTTTTCTTTAATGTTTGACATTGCAAGAACAGGCCGATTTTTTTTTATTTTAAGTCACCACCTGGACAGCCCAGCCTGGTATCAAAAAAGAGAATGTATTTCTCACTTATTTGGGCAAATTAAGGTAATAGATGAATGTGGGTATTGCGTCAATAGGGTTAGAACGGGAGTGAGATGAAACATCATTGTGCGAGTTAAACACTTGAGTCGAGCGAGCGGAGGACAGGTCCTGCGAGTGGAGGACAGGTCCTGCGAGCGGAGGCCTGCGCTGTACGCACAAATTAAACTTGAGAGTTTGCGAGTGTGACTTTGAGCGAGCAGACTGCATTTACGCGCGTAAATTTGATCATTTTCAAATTCGGTCATCAAGGCAAAGGGTGGCTACTTTGAAGAATCTAAAAACTATTTTGATTTAACCCTTTTTTGGTTACTACGTGATTCCATATGTGTTATTTCATAGTTTTTATGTCTTCACTATTATTCTGCAATGTAGAAAATAGTAAAAATAAAGAGAAACCCTTGAATGAGTAGGTGTGTCCAAACTTTTGACTGGTACTGTATACTGTTTACAGGAAACTCACTCTACACCTTTACATGAAACGTGGAAAAAGGAATGGGGCGGTGAAATAATTTTCTGTCATGGAAAAATAAACTCAAAAGGTGTGATAATTAATTAACAAAAATGTCAATCCGAATGTGCAAACAGTCAGGAATCATCCACAAGGAAGGGGGACCCTTTTGAATATGAAAGGGGACGAAAAACAGATTTGGCTCATTTAATCGTCCAAATCAGGATGATGCACACTTTGTTTGAAAATAGTTATACCAATCTATTGAATTTACAGGCAACAAATATTCAAATCATTATGGTGGGAGACTATAACACAGTGTTAACATTTACATCATTTAGCAGATGAATGTGGGTATTGCGTCAATAGGGTTAGAACGGGAGCGAGATGAAACATCATTGTTCGAGCAAACACTTGAGTTGTGCGAGCAAACACTTGAGTCGAGCGAGCGGAGGACAGGTCCTGCGAGCGCGGTCCTGCGAGCGCAGGCCTGCGCTGTACGCACAAATTAAAATTGTTAAGTGTTAAATACCTTTAATGGACCGTAAAGGAAATCACTCTACAAACTATCATCACCGTGCCCTTAAGGAGATCACAAATATTATGGACATTAGAAATAGTGGATATTTGGAGACTAAAAAACCCTTACCTACTGAGACATACATGGAGACTTAATCAAGCTAGTCGTCTTGACTACTTTCTCGTCTCTTTCTCCCATCAAAGGTTAAAGAAGTTAACCTTTCTCCCGTGAGTCCAAATGTGCACTTCACATTTCCATATCATAAACCTCATGTCATATTCAGTGTCAGCGTTTATGATCACTATGTTTAATGTACAGTTACAAGATGACATGGCTTCATACCCTGGGTTGTTCTGAACAGAATGAGCCTGTTTGTCTATTGTGAAGAAAATTCGCCTCGGAACCCACACCTGAATGCACGTGTGACTTCTTTCTATGCGCAACAAAATTATGATCAGTTTCTCTGAATTGCCTTGTGAAAGCCTAACACTGTAAGATCGTATTTTAGAACTTAGCTAGTCATGTTGGCAATAGAACAAGCTTTCAAATGATGCACACTTGACCCAGACTGCGATTTATAAAATGGGTCCATTTTTGGATTGCGTAAACAACAGTAATTGTGTGATGGCGGGGATGCAGGGTTGTGTTCCAAACAAATCAACTACCAGTGTTCTTGCTCTAGTTCCTCAACAGCACAGCTAGGAGAGCTGAAAAAAACACCTTATAGTTGAAGACTTCTTTGAGTCAAAGGTGAAATGAAATTACTAAGGAACTGTGCACACTTTGGATTCATACCCACAAGACATGCTAACCTCCCCTGTTATTGGTAATGGTGAGAGGTTAGCATGTCTTGGGGTTATGATATTTGTGTGTCTAACTTTCTCACTCATCATTATTCACAATTCATTCAGGATTATCCGTAATCATGGTAGCATCCACATTAATGTAGAAGTGTTTAGAAAGATATTCTATTCTTATTTACAATAAAAGTGACACCAAAATGACACAATGCATTATTTACCATTCATTTCTATTAGGCACAAGATAATCTGAAACAACCAAAACAAACTAAAAACACATCTAAAAAGTTTGTAAAGTCACAAGCTTGATGTATTAATTGGGATCAAAAACTAAACTTTTGACTACTTTATTTATAAGAATCTTTAGGGGTGTCAATTTTGGCCCCTACCTTTTTGAGAAAGAAATAGTATTACTTGTAAAGAAAATCTCTTATCTGAGCACTAGTATTAGTGTAAAATAATATCATTTCCCAATTCTTTGGCAGCATACAATATAGCTCAGTACTTGAATTATTTATTTTATACAGTCATTATTGCTCATCTTTATCTGATAGGAAGTCAAGGACCCCGCTGTAGTTCTGACAGGAAGTCAAGGACCCCGCTGTAGTTCTGACAGGAAGTCAAGGACCCCGCTGTAGGTCTGACAGGAAGTCAAGGACCCCGCTGTAGTTCTGACAGGAAGTCAAGGACCCCGCTGTAGGTCTGACAGGAAGTCAAGGACCCCGCTGTAGTTCTGACAGGAAGTCAAGGACCCCGCTGTAGGTCTGACAGGAAGTCAAGGACCCCGCTGTAGGTCTGACAGGAAGTCAAGGACCCCGCTGTAGGTCTGACAGGAAGTCAAGGACCCCGCTGTAGGTCTGACAGGAAGTCAAGGACCCCGCTGTAGGTCTGACAGGAAGTCAAGGACCCCGCTGTAGGTCTGATATTAGTACTTCCATCTTGGAACGTAAAAATAATCCAGGTTCATTCAAAAGACATTGAATTAAAGTTTCATGTAGGAATAATGAAAGAAAGGGATAAATCATTTGTCTGGGTCAAGCTCCATCTGAATGAATATATATATATATATATATACACTCTGCTAAAAAATAAAGGGAACACTTAAACAACACATCCTAGATCTGAATGAATGAAATAATCTTATTAAATACTTTTTTCTTTACATAGTTGAATGTGCTGACAACAAAATCACACAAAAATTATCAATGGAAATCAAATTTATCAACCCATGGAGGTCTGGATTTGGAGTCACCCTCAAAATTAAAGTGGAAACCACACTACAGGCTGATCCAACTTTGATGTAATGTCCTTAAAACAAGTCAAAATGAGGCTCAGTAGTGTGTGTGGCCTCCACGTGCCTGTATGACCTCCCTACAACGCCTGGGCATGCTCCTGATGAGGTGGCGGATGGTCTCCTGAGGGATCTCCTCCCAGACCTGGACTAAAGCATCCGCCAACTCCTGGACAGTCTGTGGTGCAACGTGGCGTTGGTGGATGGAGCGAGACATGATGTCCCAGATGTGCTCAATTGGATTCAGGTCTGGGGAATGGGCGGGCCAGTCCATTGCGTCAATGCCTTCCTCTTGCAGGAACTGCTGACACACTTCAGCCACATGAGCTCTAGCATTGTCTTGCATTAGGAGGAACCCAGGGCCAACCGCAACAGCATATGGTCTCACAAGGGGTCTGAGGATCTCATCTCGGTACCTAATGGTAGTCAGGCTACCTCTGGCGAGCACATGGAGGGCTGTGCGGCCCCCCAAAGAAATGCCACCCCACACCATGACTGACCCACCGCCAAACCGGTCATGCTGGAGGATGTTGCAGGCAGCAGAACGTTCTCCACGGCGTCTCCAGACTCTGTCACATCTGTCACATGTGCTCAGTGTGAACCTGCTTTCATCTGTGAAGAGCACAGGGCGCCAGTGGCGAATTTGCCAATCTTGGTGTTCTCTGGCAAATGCCAAACGTCCTGCACGGTGTTGGGCTGTAAGCACAACCCCCACCTGTGGACGTCGGGCCCTCATACCACCCTCATGGAGTCTGTTTCTGACCGTTTGAGCAGACACATGCACATTTGTGGCCTGCTGGAGGTCATTTTGCAGGGCTCTGGCAGTGCTCCTCCTGCTCCTCCTTGCACAAAGGCGGAGGTAGCGGTCCTGCTGCTGGGTTGTTGCCCTCCTACGGCCTCCTCCACGTCTCCTGATGTACTGGCCTGTCTCCTGGTAGCGCCTCCATGCTCTGGACACTACGCTGACAGACACAGCAAACCTTCTTGCCACAGCTCGCATTGATGTGCCATCCTGGATGAGCTGCACTACCTGAGCCACTTGTGTGGGTTGTAGACTCCGTCTCATGCTACCACTAGAGTGAAAGCACCGCCAGCATTCAAAAGTGACCAAAACATCAGCCAGGAAGCATAGGAACTGAGAAGTGGTCTGTGGTCACCACCTGCAGAACCACTTCTTTATTGGGGGTGTCTTGCTAATTGCCTATAATTTCCACCTATTGTCTATTCCATTTGCACAACAGCATGTGACATTTATTGTCAATCAGTGTTGCTTCCTAAGTGGACAGTTTGATTTCACAGAAGTGTGATTGACTTGGACTTACATTGTGTTGTTTAAGTATTCCCTTTATTTTTTTGAGCAATATATATATATATATATATATAAAATTAGTGGATTTGACCATTTCAGCCACAACTGTTGCTGACAGGTGTATAAAATCGAGCACACAGCCACGCAATCTCCATAGACAAACATTGGCAGCAGAATGGCCTTACTGAAGAGCTCAGTGACTTTCAACGTAGCACCGTCATAGGATGAAACCTTTCCCAACAAGTCAGTTCGTCAAATTTATGCCCTGCTAGAGCTTCCCCGGTCAATTGTAAGTGCTGTTTTTGTGAAGTGGAAATGTCTAGGAGCAACAACGGCTCAGCCGCGAAGTGGTAGGCCATACAAGCTCACACAGCGGGACCGCCAAGTGTTGAAGCGTGTAGTGCGTAAAAATTGTCTGTCCTTGGTTGCAACACTTACTACAGAGTTCCGAACTGCCTCTGGAAGCAAGGTCAGCACAAGAACTGTTCGTCGGAGCTTCATGAAATGGGTTTCCATGGCCGAGCAGCCGCACACAAGCCTAAAATCACCATGCGCAACGCCAAGCGTTGGCTGGACTGGTGTAAAGCTTGCCGCCATTGGACAATGGAGCAGTGGAAATGTGTTCTCTAGAGTGATGAATCATGCATCGCCATCTTGCAGCCCGACAGACCAATCTGGGTTTGGCGGATGTCAGGAGAACGCTACCTGCCCGAATGCATAGTGCCAACTGTAAAATTTGGTGGAGGAGGAATAATGATCTGGGACTGTTTTTCATGGTTCAGGCCCCTTAGTTCCAGTGAAGGGAAATCTTAACGCTACAGCATACAATGACATTCGAGACGATTCTGTGCTTCCAACTTTGTGGCAACAGTTTGGGGAATGCCATTTCCTGTTTCAGCATGACAATGCCCCCGTGCACAAAGCGAGGTCCATACAGAAATGGTTTGTCGAGATTGGTGTGGAAGAACTCGACTGGCCTGCACAGAGCCCTGACCTCAACCTCATCGAACACCTTTGGGATGAATTGGAACGCCGACTGCGAGCCAGGCCTAATCGCTCAACATCAGTGCTCGACCTCACTAACGCTCGTGGCTGAATGGAAGCAAGTCCCCGCAGCAATGTTCCAACATCTAGTGGAAAGCCTTCCCAGAAGAGTGGAGGCTGTTATAGCAGCAAAGGGGGGACCAACTCCAAATTAGTACACATGATTTTGGAATGAGATGTTCGTCAAGCAGGTGTCCACATACTTTTGGTCATGTAGTGTATATCTCTATGGTGCCTGGGCTAATAGCCTGCGTTCAGCTCAGCTCCAAAGGTCACCAGTATCGACGGCCTCTAGGATATGGCAGCCAAGGTCCTATAAAATACCATTGGCACAGTCCCATGCCGTGTCACGATCAATAATGCATAGTTGATAAACCTTGAGGGTCCGATCAAAGAACCTTCGTCTACATGCAAAAGGTCTGACTTGACGCGTAATCTTCCTGAATTTGATCTCCCTTAAAAAAAAAACTATCTATTCTGAATTCTCTCACAGGTCATTGATTTATATAAGTCTTGCAATTTAAAGTCACATCCTGAAACTAGAAGCTGCGCCGATATGTCTAACACAGGCACATTCTCTACTAAGGCCGGGACCATACCAGTATCGCAATATTTTTTTAAAACCCGAAGCAGACCAAACTCTTTGGTCCTTTTAAAAACCTGCTGTATGTCAAATATTGTGTGCAATAGCTTGGAAAATATCTCTGGATGACAACCTAATTATGTTTCTTTCCAACATCAGGGCTGTTTTCCTAAAGAAGTTAAATCTGCTTCGTGATTTGTTTCCTTGCCACTATACTAAGGAGTATGGCGATACTGCCAACCCCAACAGCCCTGCTCTCTACTGTAGGTCTTATTTTCTCATTGGGAATAGTCTTTAAATCATAATGTATAGTCTTTAAAATAATAATGTATAGTCTTTAAATCATAATGTATAGTCTTTATATCATAATGTAGTCTTTAAATAAAAATGTATAGTCTTTATATCATAATGTATAGTCTTTAAATCATAATGTATATAGTCTTTATATCATATGTATAGTTTTACATAATGTACAGTCTTTAATCATAATGTATAGTCTTTAAACATAATGTATAGTCTTTATATCATAAGTATAGTTATTCATATGACAGTCTTTAAATCATAATGTATAGTCTTTATATCATAATGTTATAGTTTTTATCATAATGTACGTCTTTAAATCATAAGTAAAAGTCTTTAAATCACTAATGTATATAGTCTTTATATCATAATGTATAGTCTTTTAAAACATAATGTATAGTCTTTAAATCATAATGTATTTGCTTTATATATAATGTAAGTCTTTAAATAATAATGTATAGTCTTTATATCATAATGTAGCTTTAAATCATAATGTATAGTTTATATCATTTAAAGTATAGTCTTTAAAACATTTAAAGTATATCTTTAAAAATAAGTAAGCTTTAAATCATAAGTAAAGTCTTAATCTAATGTATAGTCTTAAATCATAATGTATAGCTTATATCATAAGTATAGTCTTTTATCATAATGTATAGTCTTTAAATCATTGTATAGTCTTTTATCATTTAAAGTATAGTTTTTTTTTATAATGTACAGTGTTAATCAAAAGTATAGTCTTTAAATCCTAATGTATAGTCTTTATATCTAATGTATAGTCTTTAATCAAAGTTGTCTTAATCTTATGTAAGTCTTTAAAATAATGTATAGTCTTTATATCATAATGTATAGTCCTTTAAATCATAAGATAGTTTAAATCATAATGATAGTCTTTAAATCAATGTAAAGTCTTTAAATCATAATGTTAAAGTCTTTATATCATAATGGTATAGTCTTTAAATAATAATGTATAGTCTTTATATCATAATGTATAGTCTTTATATCATAATGGTATAGTCTTTAAATCATAATGATAGTCTTTATATCATAATGTATAGTGTTTTATCATAATGTACAGTCTTTAAATCATAATGTACAGTCTTTTAAATCATAATGTATAGTCTTTATATCATAATGTATAGTCTTTAAATCATAATGTTATAGTCTTTATATCATATGTATAGTCTTTATATCATAATGTATAGTCTTTAAATCATAATGTATAGTCTGTAAAATCATAATGTATAGTCTTTAAATCATAATGTTATAGTCTTTATATCATAATGTATAGTCTTTAAATCATAATGTATAGTCTTTAAATCATAATGTATAGTCTTTATATCATAATGTATAGTCTTTATATCATAATGTATAGTCTTTATACAATAATGTATAGTCTTTATATCATAATGATAGTCTTTATATCATATGTATAGTCTTTATATCATAATGTTATTAGTCCTTAAATCATAATGTATAGTTTGTTATCATAATGTATAGTTTTTTTATCATAATGTACAGTCTTTAAATCATAATGATCAGTCTTTAAATCATAATGTATAGTCTTTATATCATAATGTATAGTCTTTATATCATAATGTTATAGTCTTTAAATCATAATGTATAGTCTTTATATCATAATGTATAGTTTTTATCATAATTGTACAGTCTTTAATCTATATATATAGTCTTTAAATCATAATGTATAGTCTTTATATCATAATGTATAGTCTTTATACAATAATGTATAGTCTTTATATCATAATGTATAGTCTTTATATCATAATGTATAGTCTTTAAATCATAATGTATAGTTTTTTATCATAATGTATAGTTTTTTATCATAATGTACAGTCTTTAAATCATAATGTATAGTCTTTAAATCATAATGTATAGTCTTTATATCATAATGTATAGTCTTTAAATCATAATGTATAGTCTTTAAATCATAATGTATAGTCTTTAAATCATAATGTAAAGTCTTTAAATCATAATGTAAAGTCTTTATATCATAATGTATAGTCTTTAAATAATAATGTATAGTCTTTATATCATAATGTATAGTCTTTATATCATAATGTATAGTCTTTAAATCATAATGTATAGTCTTTATATCATAATGTATAGTTTTTTATCATAATGTACAGTCTTTAAATCATAATGTATAGTCTTTAAATCATAATGTATAGTCTTTATATCATAATGTATAGTCTTTAAATCATAATGTATAGTCTTTATATTACATTTACGTCATTTAGCAGACGCTCTTATCCAGAGCGACTTACAGTTAGCACATACATTATTTTATCGAAACCACAACCCTGGCGTTGCAAACGCCATGCTCTACCAACTGAGCTACATCCCCTGCCGGCCATTCCCTCCCCTACCCTGGACGACGCTGGGCCAATTGTGCGCCGCCCAATGGGTCTCCCGGTCGCGGCCGGCTACGACAGAGCCTGGATTCGAACCAGGATCTCTAGTGGCACAGCTAGCACTGCGATGCAGTGCCTTAGACCAACTGCGCCACTCGGGGAGATAATAATTATATCATGAATGTATAGTACTTTAAATCAATAATGTCTAGTCTTTCAATATCATAATGTATAGTCTTTATATCATTAATGTAGTAGTCTTTAAATTCATAATGTTTAGGTCATGTAAATCATTAATGTATGTTAAATCATAATGTATAGTTCTTGTTTAATCATATTGTATTAGTCTTTAAATCATAATGTTATAGTCTTTTAAATCATAATGTATAGTCTTTAAATCATAATGTAATAGTCTTTAAATCATAATGTATAGTCTTTAGTATCATAATGTATAGTCTGTAAATCATACTGTTATTAGTCTTTATATCATAATGTATAGTCTTTTAATCATAATGTATAGTCTTTAAAATCATAATGTGATAGTCTTGCCATTCATTACTTGTATAGTCTTTATATCCATAATGTGTATGTCTTATATCATTAATGTATAGTCTTTATACCAATTAATGGTTCGTCTTTTATATCATACTGTTAGTCTTCTATTATCCTCAATGTATCGTCTTTAACTCATTAATGGATTAGTTTTTATCATAATGTACAGTTTCTTTAAATCATAATGGCTTTAAATCATAATGTATAGTCTTTAAATCATAATGTATAGTCTTTAAATCATAATGTATAGTCTTTATATCATAATGTATAGTCTTTAAATCATAATGTATAGTCTTTAAATCATAATGTATAGTCTTTAAATCATAATGTATAGTCTTTATATCATAATGTAGTCTTTAAATCATAATGTATAGTCTTTAATTCATAATGTATAGTCTTTATATCATAATGTATAGTCTTTAAATAATAATGTATAGTCTTTACATCATAATGTATAGTCTTTAAATCATAATGTATAGTCTTTATATCATAATGTATAGTCTTTAACCCATAACAGTCGAAGCCCTGTGGGGGGGGGGGGGGTTCTACTAAGCTATATGGAATTGTTTTATGAAGGTCATACCAAGGACCATTTAGCTATTTCATTTGGAATTTTAAGACCCCTTGAAGTATAAAAACAATTATTTTTGGCCTTACTGCTATTAGCCCACAGATTCACTACATGGAACAACAGATAGTCCCCCCAAAAATCTGTTTGTTCTGAAGTGTCTGTCCTATATCAGAGATATTTTTTTTTACATGTATATAACCCCTTATTTTTGGTCTCGGAATGTCCTTGAGTGGCCCAGCCAGAGCCCGGACTTGAACCTGATCGAACATCTCTGGAGAGACCGGAAAATAGCTGTGCAGCGACGCTTCCCATCCAACCTGACAGAGCTTGAGAGGATCTGCAGAGAAGAATGGGAGAAACTCCCCAAATACAAGCTTGTAGCGTCATACCCAAGAAGACTCGATGCTGTAATCACTGCCAAAGGTGCTTCAAAAAATACTGTGAAAAGGGTCTGAATACTTAAGTAAATGGTATGTTTTTTCTTTTTTTATAAATTTGCAAACATTTCTAAAAACCTGTTTTTGCTTTGTCATTATGGGGTATTGTGTGTATAATATAATATGCCATTTAGCAGACGCTTTTATCCAAAGCGACTTACAGTCATGCGTGCATACATTTTTTTGTGTATGGGTGGTCCCGGGGATCGAACCCACTACCTTGGCGTTACAAGTGCCGTGCTCTACCAGCTGAGCTACAGAGGACCAATCTACACTCGGTAAGAGTGTGTGTAGATTGATAAGGGGAAAAAAACTATTTAACCCATTTTAGAATAAGGCTGTAACGTAACAAAATGTGGGAAAAGTCAAGGGGTCTGAATACTTTCCGAATGCACTGTACTTCCATAAATTTTTTCATCTGGTACCGGGGGACCTTCAGACGATTCTTGTGAGGCCTGTGGGCGTCCTAGAGCAAAACAACCAACATGTATGTGTTCGACAGTCTCACCTTTCCACAGACGGGTCATGTTAGTGTGTAGCCCAAACTTTTTGGACGCTACAGACAGAAGTTGGCAGATCGGTTGTACCGACTTCAGACGAGTCCCAAGAGGCTTGTGGGGGCCGTACAGCACAACGGAGAACACCATCGTGTTCGTGAGAGTCTCATCTTTCCATAGATGGATAGTTAATAATAGTTTAATCTTTAAAATCATAATGTATAGTCTTTAAATCATAATGTATAGTCTTTAAAATCATAATGTATAGTCTTTAAATCATAATGTATAGTCTTTAAAATCATAATGTATAGTCTTTAAATCATAATACTCCTGAGTGGCGCAGTGGTCTAAGGCACTGCATCACTAGAGATCCTGGTTCGAATCCAGGCTCTGTCGCAGCCGGCCGCGACCGGGAGACTCATGGGCGGCGCACAATTGGCCCAGCGTCGTCCAAGGTAGGGGAGGGAATGGCCGGCAGGGATGTAGCTCAGTTGGTAGAGCATGGCGTTTGCAACGCCAGGGTTGTGGGTTCGATTCCCACGGGGGGCCAGTATAAAAAAATATATATATACAAAAAATTTTTTCACTAACTGTAAGTCGCTCTGGATAAGAGCGTCTGCTAAATGACTAAAATGTAAATGCAAATGTAATAATGTATAGTCTTTAAATCATAATGTATAGGTCTATACTTTGCCCATCTTGGTGGCTAATGATTGACATCCCATCACATTCCCATTATGCATTGCTTCCTCTGCGCTGCTTACATTGCTTCCTCTTACCGAGTTCATGCCACTGAAGATGTCTCCTGATCCCACGTGGGATGTGTGGACAAAATTAGTGGGCTCCCCGATCATACTCCTGTCGATGCGCCTCCGCCGCTTCTGCAAGGAGAAGAAAAGGATACGTTGACCTTTTGAACCCAAGTTCCCTTTGTTTTTATTCTATTCTATCCTCTGACAAAAGAGTTTCAGTTTCACCTTTTACGTTTAACGTTAAATCAATTTCCTACGTTCAGCTTCCAAGGGGTTTGCGCATCAGTCAAGCAAGCAACAGATAAACGTTTCACCTTCATCTTGACTGCCGATGCATACAATGAATACCAGTAATAGAATCGAATCGCTATGTACACAAGACTGAGCTGTATGGAATACTAGCCTGTGAGTGAATCCTTCCTCTCTCAGTAAAGGAAGGAATTTGACCTCTCTCTCGGTGCTGGGGCCTCTGATGTATTTAATGTAAACATACATTTTTTTCCACTCTGACAACCAAAATAAACTTGACTCTTTAGCGAAGGACAAATGAACTGTGCTTCTAATGAATTGTCAGAGCGAGTCAGCTAGCAGGCATCACAGCATGTACAGGCCTATTCTGTCAGTGGATAGCAACGTTAGCGCTGTGTGATTAGATGGCTTTGCTCGTGGTGTTCCGACTTGTTCCATAGTTGATTGTAACCCATGCCGTGATGCCAATTACTACACATTGTAACACTATTGTATAAATATCAATAGTTCCAGCAAAGCTATTTCCCTGCCTTTATTGTCATACTGCTGTAAAGAATCAGTAACTAAAATCGGTAATTACTTGAACGCCACACGTCCAGTTGCCATGACAACTGCTTTCTGATAACCGAGGCGGCTGTGAGGTCTGCCATTTCCTCAGTCTACACACGTCACTGGTCACAGAGCCAAACGCCATGGTAACATTTCACACACTCTTCCACGACACACATCACAGGACCATCTTAAAAGCGACCGTCACTGACTGAGTCCACTATAGCGGTGAATAAAATTCGGACAAACATTTATTGTGAAAGACCATGTAAACAACGTTCCAATCACACTTTCCCCAGAGTGCGGTAAGCCTCGAAACACCGGGTCTCACCCTTAGCCCCATCTCCAATAAAGGAAGGATTTACAATAGACGGCCAGATCACTTCCGTGGGATACAGCAGTGCTGCAGTTGTCCTAGGTCTGCAGATGTGATTGCTCCTTCACATGCAAATCACACCAAGCGAGCTGGAGTACTGGTCTAGGGGTGACTGGCAGGTCAAGGCCACCGTTATACTACAGGGAAGCCTTGTCACACTGCGCCACAGTGTTTTACTACAGGGAAGCCTTGTTACACTGTGCTACAGTGTTTTACTACAGGGAAGCCTTGTCACACTGCGCCACAGTGTTTTACTACAGGGAAGCCTTGTCACACTGCGCTACAGTGTTTTACTACAGGGAAGCCTTGTCACACTGCGCTACAGTGTTTTACTACAGGGAAGCCTTGTCACACTGCGCTACAGTGTTTTACTACAGGGAAGCCTTGTCACACTGCGCCACAGTGTTTTACTACAGGGAAGCCTTGTTACACTGTGCTACAGTGTTTTACTACAGGGAAGCCTTGTCACCACTGCGCCACAGTGTTTTTACTACAGGGAAGCCTTGGTCACACTGCGCTACCAGTGTTTTACTACAGGGAAGCCTTGTCACACTGCGCTACAGTGTTTTACTACAGGGAAGCCTTGTCACAACTGCGCTACAGTGTTTTACTACAGGAAGCCTTGTCACACTGCGCTACAGTGTTTTACTACAGGGAAGCCTTTGTCACACTGCGCTACAGTGTTTTTACTACAGGGAAGCCTTGTCACACTGCGCTACAGTGTTTTTTTACTACAGGGAAGCCTTGTCACACTGCGCTACAGTGTTTTACTACAGGGAAGCCTTGTCACACTGCGCTACAGTGTTTTATGACAGGGAAGCCTTGTCACACTGCGCTACAGTGTTTTACTACAGGGAAGCCTTGTCACACTGCGCTACAGTGTTTTACTACAGGGAAGCCTTGTCACACTGCGCTACAGTGTTTTACTACAGGGAAGCCTTGTCACACTGCGCTACAGTGTTTTACTACAGGGAAGCCTTGTCACACTGCGCTACAGTGTTTTACTACAGGGAAGCCTTGTCACACTGTGCTACAGTGTTTTACTACAGGGAAGCCTTGTCACACTGCGCTACAGTGTTTTATGACAGGGAAGCCTTGTCCACACTGCGCTACAGTGTTTTACTACAGGGAAGCCTTGTCACACTGCGCTACAGTGTTTTACGACAGGGAAGCCTTGTCACACTGCGCTACAGTGTTTTACTACAGGGAAGCCTTGTCACACTGCGCTACAGTGTTTTACTACAGGGAAGCCTTGTCACACTGCGCTACAGTGTTTTACTACAGGGAAGCCTTGTTACACTGCGCTACAGTGTTTTACTACAGGGAAGCCTTGTCACACTGCGCCACAGTGTTTTACTACAGGGAAGCCTTGTCACACTGCGCTACAGTGTTTTACTACAGGGAAGCCTTGTCACACTGCGCTACAGTGTTTTACTACAGGGAAGCCTGTCACACTGCGCTACAGTGTTTTATGACAGGGAAGCCTTGTCACACTGCGCTACAGTGTTTTACTACAGGGAAGCCTTGTCACACTGCGCTACAGTGTTTTACTTACAGGGAAGCCTTGTCACACTGCGCTACAGTGTTTTACTACAGGGAAGCCTTGTCACACTGCGCTACAGTGTTTTACGACAGGGAAGCCTTGTCACACTGCGCTACAGTGTTTTACGACAGGGAAGCCTTGTCACACTGCGCTACAGTGTTTTACTACAGGGAAAGCCTTGTTACACTGCGCTACAGTGTTTTACTACAGGGAAGCTTGTTACACTGCGCTACAGTGTTTTATGACAGGGAAGCCTTGTCACACTGCGCTACAGTGTTTTACTACAGGGAAGCCTTGTTACACTGCGCTACAGTGTTTTACTACAGGGAAGCCTTGTCACACTGCGCTACAGTGTTTTACTACAGGGAAGCCTTGTCACACTGCGCTACAGTGTTTTACTACAGGGAAGCCTTGTCACACTGCGCTACAGTGTTTTACTACAGGGAAGCCTTGTCACACTGCGCTACAGTGTTTTACTACAGGGAAGCCTTGTCACACTGCGCTACAGTGTTTTACTACAGGGAAGCCTTGTCACACTGCGCTACAGTGTTTTACTACAGGGAAGCCTTGTCACACTGCGCTATAGTGTTTTACTACAGGGAAGCCTTGTCACACTGCGCTACAGTGTTTTACTACAGGGAAGCCTTGTCACACTGCGCTACAGTGTTTTTACTACAGGGAAGCCTTGTCACACTGCGCTACAGTGTTTTACTACAGGGAAGACGTGTCACACTGCCGCTACAGTGTTTTACTACAGGGAAGCCTTGTCACACTGCGCTACAGTGTTTTACTACAGGGAAGCCTTGTCACACTGCGCTACAGTGTTTTACTACAGGGAAGCCGTGTCCACACTGCGCTACAGTGTTTTACTACAGGGAAGCCGTGTCACACTGCGCTACAGTGTTTTACTACAGGGAAGCCTTGTCACACTGCGCTACAGTGTTTTACTACAGGGAAGCCTTGTCACACTGCGCTACAGTGTTTTACGACAGGGAAGCCTTGTCACACTGCGCTACAGTGTTTTACTACAGGGAAGCCTTGTCACACTGCGCTACAGTGTTTTACTACAGGGAAGCCTTGTCACACTGCGCTACAGTGTTTTACTACAGGGAAGCCTTGTCACACTGCGCTACAGTGTTTTACTACAGGGAAGCCTTGTCACACTGCGCTACAGTGTTTTACTACAGGGAAGCCTTGTCACACTGCGCTACAGTGTTTTACTACAGGGAAGCCTTGTCACACTGCACTACAGTGTTTTACTACAGGGAAGCCGTGTCACACTGCGCTACAGTGTTTTACTACAGGGAAGCCTTGTCACACTGCGCTACAGTGTTTTACTACAGGGAAGCCTTGTCACACTGCGCTACAGTGTTTTACTACAGGGAAGCCTTGTCACACTGCGCTACAGTGTTTTACTACAGGGAAGCCTTGTCACACTGCGCTATAGTGTTTTACTACAGGGAAGCCTTTTCACACTGCGCTACAGTGTTTTACTACAGGGAAGCCTTGTTACACTGCGCTACAGTGTTTTACTACAGGGAAGCCTTGTCACACTGCGCTACAGTGTTTTACTACAGGGAAGCCTTGTCACACTGCGCTACAGTGTTTTACTACAGGGAAGCCTTGTCACACTGCGCTACAGTGTTTTACTACAGGGAAGCCTTGTCACACTGCGCTACAGTGTTTTACTACAGGGAAGCCTTGTCACACTGCGCTACACAGTGCTTGTGTACACAGAGAAACATGAACCCGACTTGGTGGTTCGGTGCAGTACACTCGGTGTCCCACCAACAAAAGCATTTTCTGGTGATCTCTGCAAATAAGCAGAGCATCCTGCAGGCTTTAGGGGGAGGGAGACGTTCTGTGGTGGAACTGGGCAGGCTTTAGGGGGAGGGAGACGTTCTGTGGTGGGACTGGGCAGGCTTTAGGGGGAGGGAGACGTTCTGTGGTGGAACTGGGCAGGCTTTAGGGGGAGATGTTCTGTGGTGGAATGGGGAATCTTATAACTAATTCAACCTTGGGAGTCCTGTTCCATAGGAGAGTTGGAATTCCAGACTGATCACAATGACAGGAAATCCTTCCGTTTCCCTCCCAGACATTCCCCAAATCCTTCCGTTTCCCTCCCAGACATTCCCCAAATCCTTCCGTTTCCCTCCCAGACATTCCCCAAATCCTTCCGTTTCCCTCCCAGACATTCCCCAAATCTGCGTGGCAGAATATTAGCATCCTCGGGTACTTCAAAAATGGTTCACTGAGATTACACTGACTTTCCAAAATGGAAAAATGAGCTCAAAGCTGACAAAAAACATACTTGTGAATTGTTGTTGCCATGCAAAATGCCCTTGATCTTGGGTTCAACTGGAGAGGGAAGCTGAGTTTGTTCTCAGGGAAAAGGTAGGCTATACTCATACAATGACAAAAATGGCTGTATTGGCCAACATCTCTAGACTATACACTACTAGGAGACAAACTGTAGCCTACATTTGAACCCAAACAAATCTGGGACATCCACGCTCATGGACAACAATCCCCCACCTGAGTATAATACATTTTTTTCAAAGAACATCAGAGGTTTACAGCAAAATGGCATGCTGCATCCACTATCCCCCCCAAATTAATTGGACTCAACATATTTCCCGGGGTTGCGCAATCTAATCCATTTAATGAGCCTGAAGTCAAATGTAGCCTATTAACCTTTCTTTCTGGAGCGCTTTGAAATAAAGGATAAATAAAATGCACTGACATTTGAGGTATCGTCTGTTTACTGGCTGTGTCCCAAATGGCAACCTATTTAATTTATAATGTATTACTTTTGGGCCCATAGGGCTCTGGTCAAAAGTAGTGCTCTATATAGGGAATGGGGGTCCATTTGGGATGCAGCCTTTGAAAATGTACTGACAGTTCCCCACCAAGTGCTTTGATGTGCTTTCAGCCCCAAATGTTTTTAGCTTAATAGCATACAACGGTGAAGTCCACCTGGAATTTGAACCAACAAACTCAATTCCTTCCTCCTATCCAGTTCTATTTCCCTAACAGCTAGACCAGTGGCTCCATCACTTTTTGTGCATTGACGCCAGCTGAAGCCTTTCAAATGTTCTGCTGACCTCCAGATAAACAAAGCAAGGTTTCTGGCCACAACTCAAAGGGAAACTAATACGATCCACAAGTGGTTCCCGACCCAATATAGAGTCCATAACATACTTCTACCTAAGGCTAACCGTTTCTCAAGAGCATTAGTGAGGTCAGGCACTGATGACGGGCGATTAAGCCTGGCTCGCAGTCGGCGTTCCAATTCTTCTCAAAGGTGTTCGATGGGGTTGAGGTCAGGGCTCTGTGCAGGCCAGTCAAGTTCTTCCACACCGATCTCGACAAACCATTTCTGTATGTGACCTCGCTTTGTGCACGGGGAAATTGTCATGCTGAA